TGCAGCCTTTGCGCGTCAAACCCGCAGCGATCCCACGCGTCAGGCACCTGCTCTCGAGATCCCGCGCGTTAGGTACCTCCCTCCTCCCGCGCGTCAGGTGCCCCCTATCCGCGCGTCAGGTAGCGCGAAACTCGATCGCGCACGTGACGTACTTTTCCCCAGCCCGTGCGGCAACTAACCAACCAAGTAAGGAACAACTACGTCACTAATTAACTCATCAAATAACTAACTAATTGACTAACTAACTACATAACTAACTACCTAACTAACTAACTAACTGACTAACTAACTAACTATTTAACTAACTAACTAACTATTTAACTAACTAACTAAGTAGCTAGCAGGTAGCTAACTAACTAACTAACTAACTAACTAACTAACTAACTAACTATTTAACTAACTAACTAACTATTTAACTAACTAACTAAGTAGCTAGCAGGTAGCTAACTAACTAACTAACTAACTAACTAACTAGCCGCCTTCCCCCCCCTCGGCCTCTAGCCTTTGCGCGTCAGGTACTCCCGCGCGTCAGGTACTCTTTGAGTTTGAGTGACGTTACAGGTTAGGTACTAACTTGCTAACTGACTAACTCACTACCTTAGTAACTTTCGAATTACCTATCAAGCTAACTCAGTACTGAGCCAACTAACTAGCTAGCTAGCTAACGAACTAACTCATTAACCAACCCCCCTCTCCTCTCCAGCCTTTGCGCGTCAGGTCCGCGATCCCGCGCGTCAGGCGCCTGCTCTCACGATCCCGCGCGTTAGGTACCTCCCTCCTGCCGCGCGTGAGGTACCCTTTCCGCGCAAACTCGATAACGCACGCGACGTACTTTTTCCCCAGCCAATAGGGCAACTAAACACAAGTAAAACTAACTAACTAACTAACTATCTAACCAATTAGCTAACTAACTAACTGACTGACTAACTAACTAACTAACTAACTAACCGCGTGCTAGCTAGCTAATTAACTAACTAACCACCAACCCCCCCCCCTCCTCTCCAGCCTTTGCGCGTCAGGTCCGCGGCGATGCCGGGTGTGAGGCACCTGCTCTCAATATCCCGCGTTGGGCACCTCCCTCCTCCCGCGCGTCAGGTTCCCCCTTTGCGCGCGTCAAGTGCCGCGAAACTTGATCCCGCACATGATGTTCTCTTTCCCCAGCCGTGCGGCAGCTACTATTTTCCTTCCGCGCGTCACGTATCCCCCATCCCCATCCGCGCGTCAGCTACTATCCCCGTATCCCCCTGCCGCGCATCAGGTACTTTTCATCCCCATCCGCGCATCAGCTACTATCCTCCCTTCCGCGCGTCAGGTATGCGTCAGGCTCCCCCCACTCCCGGTCCGCGCGTCAGCCCTTCCGCAGCTGCTATTCGCCCTGCCCTCTCTTCTGCGCGTCAGATCCCGTGAGCGTCAGGTACCCCCTAATCCTAATCCGCCCACCAGCCCGTCCGCGTGGCGTCAGCTGCTATTCGCCCTGCCGTGCGTCAGGTACCCCCTGACCCGATCCGAGCGTCAGCTACTATCCCCCCCTTCCACGCGTCAGGTGCCCCGCTTCGCACGTCAGCTGCTATCCCACCTTCGTCAGCCTTCCGTGCGTTGTCAACTGCTAGTCGCGTTGCCGCGTGTCTGGTACCGCCTGACCCGATCTACTATCCCCTCTTCCGCGCGTCAGGTACTCCCCATTCCCCATCCACATATCGCCCTAACGTGAGCGTCAGGTACCCTCCATAATCCCGATCCCCGCGTCAGCCCTTCCGCGTGGCGTCAGGGTACCCTCCGCGCGTCGGCTACTATCCCCCCTTCCGCGTGTCATGCCCCGACCCGCACGTCCTCTTCCGCGCGTCAGGTACCCCCCCATCCCCATCCGCGCGACAGCTACTATGCCCCTTGCGCGCGTCAGGTACCCCCATCCCCATCCACGCGTGAGCTACTATCCTCCCTTCCGCGCGTCAGGCATCCGCGCGTCAGGTGCGCCCAAGCGTGAGCGTCATGTACTCCCTAATCCCGATCCGCACGTCAGCCCTTCCACGCGGCGTTAGCTGCTATTTGCCCTGCCGCGCGTCAGGTACCCCCTGACCCGATCCGCGCGTCAGCTACTCTCCCCCCTTCCGCGCGTCAGGTGCCCCAATCCGCGCGTCAGCTATCCCCGTTCCTAAGACAGGGACCCTAGTGCTCAGCATCTAGGTCCAGCGTTTTCCTTTTTCTTCCTTACTTGTGTGAACCCTATCCCGATCCGCCGGTCAGCTAACTCCCCTCCCCCTTTCCGCGCTAAGGGGCCCTTTATCCCGATCTGCTCGTCAGGCATACAATTATTTTTTCCGATCCGTAGCGTCAGCCACATGATCCCCGTTCCCGCCGTCCCTTAGCATCCCATCCGCCGTCATCCCCACTATCCCCGCTTCCCGCGCGTCAGGGTGCCCCTATGCCCCCTTTCCCCTCTCGAGCGTCAAACCCTTTTTCACACTCAAAATTGTTCGCCCTGTTCGCTTCAGGTACCTACCCCCTGACACCCGATCCGCGGCGTACGAGCAACCATCACCGCCCTTGCCCCGCTCCGCATGTCGCTACCATCCCACCTAATTCCGCGCCACACCCTTGCCCGCACGTCAGATCCACGTCCGCTCAGCTAATACCCCCCTCTCGTGGCGTTAAGGTGCCCCCTGTCTGCTTCCATCTCGATCCGCGGCAGCCTTTCCGCACACAGTCACGTCAGGTTCTCTCCCTCGTCAGGCGTCAGGCCCTTGCCGTGCGTCAGCTACTTTCCCCCTTCCCTGTGTGAGACCCTCCTGCCCCGATCCGCGTGACATAACATTTCCCTTTTGGCTCGCTTGTAAACCAACCAAGTCCAAGGAAGGACTACGTCACTAACTCATCAAATAACTAACTAAACTAGCGAACAAAGATAATTAACTAAATAGGCTAACTATTTAAAACCTAACTAACTAGACAACAAATCAATTAACTAGCTAACTAACTAACAACTAACTAGCCGTCTTCCTCCCCCCCCTCTGCCTCTAGCCTTCGTGCGTCAGGTACCCCCCGCGCGTCAGGTACTCTTTGAGTCTGAGTGAGGTTACAGGTTAGGTACTAGCTCACTACCTTAGTAACTTTCGAATTATCCAGCTAACTCATGAATTAGCTAGCTAACTAGCTAGCTAGCTAGCTAGCTAACTAACTCATTAACCAACCCCCCTCTCCTCTCCAGCCTTTGCGTGTCAGGTCCGCGGCGATGCCGCGAGTCAGGCGCCTGCTCTCACGATCCCGCGCGTTAGGTACCTCCCTCCTGGCGCGCGTCAGGTGCCCTTTCCGTGCGTCAGGTACCGCGAAACTCGATCCCGCACGCGACGCGCTTTTTTCCCCAGCCAGTGGGGCATCTAAACACAAGTAAAACTAACTAACTAACTGACTAACTAACTAACTAACTAAGTAATTAACTAACTAAGCGCCTTAGGCCCCCCCCCTCCCCGCATCCGCACGTTAGGTACCTCCGCGTGTCCGGTACTCTTTGAGTGAGGTTACAGGTTAGGTACTAACTCACTACCTTAGTAACTTTCAAATTATCCAGCTAACTCATGAATTAGCTAGTTAACTAGCTAGCTAGCTAGCTAACTAACTAACTCATTAACCAACCGCCCTCTGCTCTCGAGCCTTTGCGCGTCAGGTCCGCGGCGATGACGCGAGTCAGGCGCCTGCTCTCACGATCCCGCGCGTTAGGTACCTCCCTCCTGGCGCGCGTCAGGTGCCCTTTCCGCGCGTCAGGTACCGCGAAACTCGATCCCGCACGCGACGCACTTTTTCCCCAGCCAGTGGGGCAACTAAACACAAGTAAAACTAACTAACTCACTGACTAACTAACTAACTAACTAACTAACTAACTAACTAACCGCCTTAGCCCCCCCCCCTCCCCCGCATCCGCACGTTAGGTACCTCCGCGTGTCCGGTACTCTTTGAGTGAGGTTAGAGGTTAGGTACGAACCAGTAACTACAGAACTACCTGACTAGTTAACAAACTAACTAGCTATCTAGCTAGATAGCTAATTACCTAACTAACCACGAACCTCCCCCCTCCTCTCCAGCCTTTGCGCGTCAGGTCAGCGGCGATGCCGTGCGTCAGGCACCTGCTCTCAATATCCCGCGCGTTGGGCACCGCAGGTACCCCCTTTGCGCGCGTCAGGTGCCGCGAAACTTGATCCCGCACGTGATGTACTTTTTCCCCAGCCGTGCGGCAGCTAACCAACCAAGTAAGGTACCAAGCTACCTAACCAACTGCGCCACTAACTAACTAGCTACCTACCTAACTAACTAACTAACTAACTAACTAACCAACTACCCCTCCCCCCCCGCCTGCAGCCTCCGCGCGTCAGGTACCCCCGCGCGTCAGGTACTCTTTGAGTGGGGTTACAGGTCCGCGACGATCCCGCACGTCAGGCACTGGCTCTCAAGATCCCAGCCTTCAGGTACCTCTCTCCTCCCGCGCGTCAGGTACCCCCTTTCCGTGCGTCAGGTACCATGAAACTCGACTATGCGCGTGACATATGTTTCCCGAGCCCGTGCAGCAGCTAACCAACCAAGTAAGCTACCAAGCTACCTAACTAGCTACGTCACTAACTATGTCACCAACTGACTAACTAACTAACTAACTATCTAACTAACCAATTAGCTAGCTAACTAACTTGACTAACTAACTAACTAACTAACTAAGTAACTAAGTAACTAACTAGCTAACTAACTAACTAACTAACTAACTAACCGCCTTACCCCTCCCCCCCCCCCGCCTCCAGCCTCCGCGCGTCAGGTACCCCCGCGCGTCAGGTACTCTTTGAGTGAGGTTACAGGTTAGCTGGGGTACAGCCTGTTTCGACCAGGGTCTGGACTATGTCTTAGACATCTGGCCATTTGAGGGTCTAAAATTTCTTGCTCCATAAATTGTTTCTAACAGAATTCTTTTGGTTTCCGGCCACTGAAATCACAACTGGGCACCTGGGCACCTGGCGCTCGAGGCGTCCAGAAGCTGCGGGACCCGGTGCTCTTGGGCCTGCGAAACCAGACCCATTGGCCGTGGGCCCCAGAGTCAAAACCGGTCATTTTTCGGGGACGCGCAAAAAAAAAAAGGGGCCCGGCGGCCCTTAACAAAAACAGGGGAAGGGCGGGCTTGTTGATTTTGTTTGTTTTGGTAGCACCGAAAAAAGAAAAAACAACGTGACTTCCGAAATGCGTTTTTTTTGTTTTTCTCTTTTTTTCTTCTTAGTAGCACCCAAAAACACCGTTACCCCCAAAAAGGGCAGCCTCAAAAACAGACAGACTTTTGAAGGATGGGCCTCTACGGTCGCGTGGACACTCTGTGACATTTCAATGGTCACCAACCCCTCATCAATGCATCGAAGTGTAGTCATAGTCCAATATTGGCTGACACCCTCTGATGGCATCAAAGTACTGTTGATCCTCTGCTTACGCGGAATATTCTAGGTGGCAACTTGCCCCATGGCCAGCGATCCGTCTTTCCAGAAAACCGCCCAAAAACGGAAAAGGGCTGTTTGAATTTGGTCGAGAGTCGAGCTTGGTGGAAAGCATGTGTAGTCTCAGGAGTTTAGTATTGGTTTAGTATTGGCCACCAATGTAAATATTTAGTATTGCCTTTTTTTTCTTTCCCGCGGATCGGGGGAGTTTTATTATTAGGGGTAGGTTGATGAATAGGAAGAAGTGATTAGTGCAAACATCAGGAACTCCAACCGCAAGTACGGCAAGCTGTCAGGGCCTTGGAGACGGGGTCAGAAGGGCCCGTTCGGTGCGTGTTTCGCTCGTGACATGCATGAACAAGTTGCGGGGGTGCTGGGCCGTCGTTCCCCCTTGTCAACATGGTAAACAAATCCAATCCACCAATCAAATCATATCAAGCTTGTTTGCATGATAGTAATCCGACACCTTGTGAATCATTGCACACAAGAAACAAACGCGTGCTCAAAGTCTGGACGTAGCAGCGACTCTTACTTGAGTTCATTTCTAAAGTCGCCAGCCGTGATTCGGAGCAATGGGGTGTGCGCTTTTGCGTTTGAATATGCCAATGCTGAATGTTGTGATTGGTTTGCATGTCCGAGTGTGGCATCTCCATTCTGACCATTCTTGTCACAGCTTCCTTCGATAAGTTAAAAAAAAAATGCTTGCTCGCCCCGGCATAGGTCCAATAAACATCTTTGGCTTGAGACTCATCTTTCGCCTAAACCCCTGCCGGGCCTTCGCTTCCAGATCACTCGTATTCCCTTCGCTGCTTGAAACATTTTGAGGCCGGAGCTGCTGCCTCGGGACAGCGAGACGCATGGCTTCAAGGACGGCTGGAGTGGCACGTTTTTGTTTTTTTTTTGTCTGAAACCCTCTGAAACCCTCTGACCGGTGCGGAAATCGGAAGGGAAGGAGAGGTTTGGAAGGAACCCACCAGCAAGGGATGGGGCTTTCCTCTTGGTCATTCCCACATTCGTACCAGCACCAGCAAGCTAAACTCGCCCAGAATTGGTGTTCTTCCATGCTTTAAGCTTTGTTGATGAGCGATGATGCCCAGAAGCGGGCAAAGCGAACGAAAGCAACTGGCCAGGAGCACACCAACAGCTGGATGGCACGTTCGGGGGAAGCTAGTCCTGCCCGAAATCGGAACTACGTGTCTGCCTCAGAGCCATGCTGAGCTGATCAGCGCCGGAGCCAGGAAAAGGCGACTGACTGCATTTCGCATCTCCAAAGAGAAAATTGAGGATTCTTTGCATGGCCGCGGCACTGGTTGAGTGCTTGAACTCTCGTTGCTTGCGATCGTTTTTCAGCGCCATCCATTTGAAGTTGGATTGGCCCAGCCCAATGCATTGGAGCCTTCCCCTTGCAAAGCATTGGCACAGGTGTCAATGATGACACGTTCAAGGCCTGCCATTTGTACCGGGCTGCGGAGAGGAACGCATTCCGGTGAAAGGAAAGGGTGGGCTATCCAAAGTCTGGCCGTTCAAAGGCAATCCGCAAGGTCCTTGGTTACGAAAGGACTTGGTCCCCTTTGTATTGGTTGTGCAATAGGGATTATGGCTTCGGATTGGCCAAGACTCCCATTTTGAACAGCCCAGAAAGTGCCAGATTGACTGGGTGGTCTGCCGATTTCCGGGTTGCCCGGGAGCCGATGTGAACATCGACTTCGGGTAGGATCTTTGAGAGCTGAGAGCCCCTGGGCCATCCCAACTAAGGAATCGGAGTGGCAGAGCTAGTTGTTGCATAGCACATGGTTGTTGTTGGTTGAAACATTTTACATTTTTGCGAAATTTGTGGTCCAGTGGTTGAAATCCAAATCCACTTCGCTGCATTTTTTTCTACAGAAATGTGTTTGCTCCCCTTTCAGCGTCGACCAAGCTAAAACATATGTGGTGCCAAAAGGTTCGCATCTCATGGACCGGAAGCTATGGAAGGGGAGGAGGCTATTAGTAAGCCCAAGGATAAAGCCCCAACATTAGGTACCCCAGCCCGCGCGTCAGCTACTATTTTCCTTCCGCGCGTCAGGTACCCCCCATCCCCATCCGCGCGTCAGCTACTATCCCCCTTCCGCGCGTCAGGTACCCCCCATCCCATCTGCGCGTCAGCTACTATCCTCCCTTCCGCGCGTCAGGTATGCGTCAGGCGCCCCCCACTCCCGGTCCACGCGTCAGCCCTTACGCAGCTGCTATTCGCCCTGCCGCGCGTCAGGTACCCCCTGACCTCCCCTCTTCCGCGCGTCAGTTCCCACCCTACTCCCATCCGCGCGTCAGCTACTATTTTCCTTCCGCGCATCAGGTAACCTCATCCTCATCCCGCACGTGCGTCAGCTACTATACCCCTTCCGCGCGTCAGGTACCGCCCACCCCCATCCGCGCGTCAGCTACTATCCTCCCTTCCGCGCATCAGGTATCCGCGCGTCAGGTGCGCCCTAGCGTGAGCGTGGCAACCCACACTCCCGATCCGCGCGTCAGCCCTTTGGCGCGGCGTCAGCTGCTATTCACCCCCTGACCGCACGTCAGCTACTATCAGCCCTTCCTCACGTCGTCAGCTTCTCTATTCGCCTTGCCGCGTGTCAGGTAGAGGTAGGCCCGATTTACTAACCCTTCTTCCGCGCGTCAGGTACCCCCCATCCCCATCCGCGGGCGCGCCCAAGCGTGAGCGACAGGCCCGCGCGTCAGCTACTATTTTCCTTCCGCGCGTCAGGTACCCCCCATCCCCATCCGCGCGTCACAGCTACAAAGACCCCCTTCCCGCCGCTGTCAGGTTAACACCCCCATCCCCATCCGGCGCAAGCTACTATCCTCCCTTCCACGCGTCAGGTCCGCGCGTCAGCCCTTACGCAGCTGCTATTCGCCCTGCCGCGCGTCAGGTACCCTGACCTCCCCTCTTCCGCGCGTCAGTTCCCACCCTACTCCCATCCGCGCGGCAGCTACTATTTTCCTTCCGCGCATCATTAACCCCAATCCCTGCACCTGCAAAAAAGCGGTCAGCGCAAGGGGAAAATCATTCCTCCTCCCGCGCGTCAGTTACCCCCCACCCCCCATCCGCGCGTCCAGCTACAAACCTCCCTTCCGCGCGTTCAGTTTCATCCGCGCGACAGTTCGCCCTAGCGTGAGCGATGTCAGGTGCCGCCACTCCCGATCCCGCGCGTCAGCCCTTTCCGCGCGGGCGTCAGCAGCCTATTCACCCCCTGGACCGCACGTACAGAATCTACAATCACCCTTCCCTCACGTCGTTCAGCTTCTCTATTTCGCCTGGCCGCTTTTCAGTAAACCAGCCTGACCCGAACTACTAACCCTCTTCCCCGCACCTTCAAGGTAACCGCGCAAGTCCCTCCGTCCATCTAACTATTTTCCTTCCGCGCGTCAGGTACCCCCCATCCCCATCCGCGCGTCAGCTACTATCCCCCTTCCGCGCGTCAGGTACCCCCCATCCCATCCGCGCGTCAGCTACTATCCTCCCTTCCGCGCGTCAGGTATGCGTCAGGCGCCCCCCACTCCCGGTCCACGCGTGCCCTTATGCAGCTGCTATTCGCCCTGCCGCGCGTCAGGTACCCCCTGACCTCCCCTCTTCCGCGCGTCAGTTCCCACCCTACTCCCATCCGCGCGTCAGCTACTATACACCCCTCCCCAACCGTCGCGTCAGTTACCCCGCCCACGCCCCAAATTCCTCGCGTCACTACTATCCACCTCTTCCGCGCATCAGGAATCCGCGCTTCATTGTTGCGCCCCCCCCCTAATAAAATCACAAAACAAAAAAAAAGCGTGAGCGTGGCAACCCACACTCCCGATCCGCGCGTCAGCCCTTTGGCGCGGCGTCAGCTGCTATTCACCCCCTGACCGCACGTCAGCTACTATCAGCCCTTCCTCACGGCGTCAGCTTCTCTATTCGCCTTGCCGCGTGTCACGTACCGCCTGACCCGATCTACTAACCCCTCTTCCGCGCGTCAGGTACCCCCCATCCCCATCCGCGCGTCAGCTACTACCATGCCTGTGAGCTACTATGTCAGGTCCCCCCTAATCCCATCCGCCCCAGCCCGTCCGCGCGGCGTCAGCTGCTTTTCGCCCTGCCGTGCGTCAGGTACCCTCTGGCCCGATCCGCGCGTCAGCTACTATCCGCGCGTCAGGTGCCCCGCGCATACCCCGCGTGAGCTACATTCCCGATCCGCGCGTCAGCCCTTCCGCGCGGCGTTAGCTGCTATTTGCTCGCCGCGCGTCAGGTGCCCCCTGACCCGATCCGCGCGTCAGCTACTCTCCCCCCTTCCGCGCGTCAGGTGCCCCGATCCGCGCGTCAGCTATCCCCGTTCCCGAGACAGGGACCCTAGCGCGTAGTGTCAGCTGTTTTCCCTTTTTCGTGTGTGTGAGACCCTATCCCGATCCGCGCGTCAGCTACTGCCCCCCCTTTCCGCGCGTGAGGGGCCCTTTATCCCGATCTGCGCGTCAGCTATACAATCCTCTGTCCGATCCGTGCGTCAGCTACTTTCCCCCTCCCGCCGTTGCATCCCGATCCGCGCGTCAGCCACACTATCCCCGCTTCCGCGCGTCAGGTGCCCCTATGCCCCTTTCTCGCGCGTCAAGCCTTTTTCACACGTCACAGCCCTTGCACGCGTCCTCAGCTACTGTTCGCCCTGCCACACGTCAGGTATCCCCTGACCCGATCACCATCCCCCCTTGCCCCGCTCCGCACGTCAGCTACCATCCCCGCGCGTCAGGACTCCCTACCGATCCGTGCGTCAGCTGCACCCTTCCGCACGTCATCCAAGTCGCGCGTCAGCTAATACCCTCCCTCTCGCGCATTAGGTGCCCCCTGTTTGCTTCCATCTTGATCCGCGTCAGCCTTTCCGCACACAGTCACGTCATCTCCCTCGTCAGGCGTCAGGCCCTTGCCGTGCGTCAGCTACTTTCCCCCTTCGCTGTGTGAGACCCTCCTGTCCCGATCCGCGCGACTATCCCCCCTTTATCGCGATCCGCGCGTCAGCTGCACACCCAGGTCAAGTTCTGCGTGTCGCTGCTATGCCGGGCCCCCTCATCCCGATCCGCGCGTCAGCTCACTCCCCTTTCTACTGCCACAAGGTATCAGGGGTAAGATACCCCCGCCAGTCAGGTGCCCCCGCGCGTCAGGTCGCGCATGAGGTCCCTTGATTTTCGTGCGTCTGACTGACTAACTGACTAACTATCTATCAAGTTGACAAACTAGCTAACTTGCAAACTAAGCACTCAGTTGACTAACTGCCCACCTAACCACCTGACGAACTGACTAAGTAACTAACTAAGTAGCTGACTAACTAACCAACCAACTAACCAACAAACTAATTAACTAACTAAGTAACTACCCCGCCACCTCCGCAGTTTCGCGCGTCAGGCGCCGCCTCACCCGATCCCGCCCGTCAAGTACTCCGCCAGGCGCTTTCCACTGACGTTCCCGAACGTCAGGTAGTGCCTAGCCCGATCCCGCGCATGAGCCGGCGCGGCAACTAAACTTCCCAACTTTCTCAGCCTCCGCGCGTCAAGTAGCCCCGCGCGACAGGTGGACTAACCAACAAACTGACTGCCTGACGGACTAGCGAACTACATACGCCTTACCCGATCCCAATCCCCTCACTTCCTGCGGCAGAGTAAGAATGAACCAACTAACTAGCTAACCACCTAACTACTTAGCTACCTAACTAATGAATCCTCCGCGCGTCAGGTACCGCCTAACCAGATAACTTTTTTTTGCAGCCTTTGCGCGTCAAACCCGCAGCGATCCCACGCGTCAGGCACCTGCTCTCGAGATCCCGCGCGTTAGGTACCTCCCTCCTCCCGCGCGTCAGGTGCCCCCTATCCGCGCGTCAGGTAGCGCGAAACTCGATCGCGCACGTGACGTACTTTTCCCCAGCCCGTGCGGCAACTAACCAACCAAGTAAGGAACAACTACGTCACTAATTAACTCATCAAATAACTAACGAATTGACAACAAACAACATAACTAACTACCTAACTAACTAACTAACTAACTAACTAACTAACTACTTAACTAACTAACTAACTATTTAACTAACTAACTAAGTAGCTAGCAGGTTGCTGACTAACTTTCTAACTAACTAACTAACTATTTAACTAACTAACTAACTATTTAACTAACTAACTAAGTAGCTAGCAGGTAGCTAACTAACTAACTAACTAACTAACTAACTAACTAGCCGCCTTCCCCCCCCTCGGCCTCTAGCCTTTGCGCGTCAGGTACTCCCGCGCGTCAGGTACTCTTTGAGTTTGAGTGACGTTACAGGTTAGGTACTAACTTGCTAACTGACTAACTCACTACCTTAGTAACTTTCGAATTACCTATCAAGCTAACTCAGTACTGAGCCAACTAACTAGCTAGCTAGCTAACGAACTAACTCATTAACCAACCCCCCTCTCCTCTCCAGCCTTTGCGCGTCAGGTCCGCGATCCCGCGCGTCAGGCGCCTGCTCTCACGATCCCGCGCGTTAGGTACCTCCCTCCTGCCGCGCGTGAGGTACCCTGTCCGCGCAAACTCGATAACGCACGCGACGTACTTTTTCCCCAGCCAATAGGGCAACTAAACACAAGTAAAACTAACTAACTAACTAACTATCTAACCAATTAGCTAACTAACTAACTGACTGACTAACTAACTAACTAACTAACTAACCGCGTGCTAGCTAGCCAATTAACTAACTAACCACCAACCCCCCCCCCCTCCTCTCCAGCCTTTGCGCGTCAGGTCCGCGGCGATGCCGGGTGTGAGGCACCTGCTCTCAATATCCCGCGTTGGGCACCTCCCTCCTCCCGCGCGTCAGGTTCCCCCTTTGCGCGCGTCAAGTGCCGCGAAACTTGATCCCGCACATGATGTTCTCTTTCCCCAGCCGTGCGGCAGCTACTATTTTCCTTCCGCGCGTCACGTATCCCCCATCCCCATCCGCGCGTCAGCTACTATCCCCGTATCCCCCTGCCGCGCATCAGGTACTTTTCATCCCCATCCGCGCATCAGCTACTATCCTCCCTTCCGCGCGGTATGCGTCAGGCTCCCCCCACTCCCGGTCCGCGCGTCAGCCCTTCCGCAGCTGCTATTCGCCCTGCCCTCTCTTCTGCGCGTCAGATCCCGTGAGCGTCAGGTACCCCCTAATCCTAATCCGCCCACCAGCCCGTCCGCGTGGCGTCAGCTGCTATTCGCCCTGCCGTGCGTCAGGTACCCCCTGACCCGATCCGAGCGTCAGCTACTATCCCCCCCTTCCACGCGTCAGGTGCCCCGCTTCGCACGTCAGCTGCTATCCCACCTTCGTCAGCCCTTCCGTGCGTTGTCAACTGCTAGTCGCGTTGCCGCGTGTCTGGTACCGCCTGACCCGATCTACTATCCCCTCTTCCGCGCGTCAGGTACTCCCCATTCCCCATCCGCGGGTGCGCCCTAACGTGAGCGTCAGGTACCCTCCAATCCCGATCCCCGCGTCAGCCCTTCCGCGTGGCGTCAGGGTACCCTCCGCGCGTCGGCTACTATCCCCCCTTCCGCGTGTCAGGCGCCCCGACCCGCACGTCCTCTTCCGCGCGTCAGGTACCCCCCCATCCCCATCCGCGCGACAGCTACTATGCCCCTTGCGCGCGTCAGGTACCCCCATCCCCATCCACGCGTGAGCTACTATCCTCCCTTCCGCGCGTCAGGCATCCGCGCGTCAGGTGCGCCCAAGCGTGAGCGTCATGTACTCCCTAATCCCGATCCGCACGTCAGCCCTTCCACGCGGCGTTAGCTGCTATTTGCCCTGCCGCGCGTCAGGTACCCCCTGACCCGATCCGCGCGTCAGCTACTCTCCCCCCTTCCGCGCGTCAGGTGCCCCAATCCGCACGTCAGCTATCCCCGTTCCTAAGACAGGGACCCTAGTGCGTCAGCATCTAGTGTCAGCTGTTTTCCCTCTTACGTGTGTGAGACCCTATCCCGATCCGCGCGTCAGCTACTGCCCCCCCTTTCCGCGCGTGAGGGGCCCTTTATCCCGATCTGCGCGTCAGCTATACAATCCTCTTTCCGATCCGTGCGTCAGCCACTTTCCCCGTCCCGCCGTCCCTTGCATCCCGATCCGCGCGTCAGCCACACTATCCCCGCTTCCGCGCGTCAGGTGCCCCTATGCCCCTTTCTCGCGCGTCAAACCTTTTTCACACGTCACAGCCCTTGCACGCGTCCTCACAGCTATTGTTCGCCCTGTTGCGCGTCAGGTACCCCCTGACCCGATCCGCGCGTCAGCTACCATCCCGCCCTTGCCCCGCTCCGCATGTCGGCTACCATCCCACCTAATTCTCGCGCGTCAGGACTCCCTACCGATCCGTGCGTCAGCCACACCCTTCCGCACGTCATCCACGTCGCGCGTCAGCTAATACCCTCCCTCTCGTGCGTTAGGTGCCCCCTGTCTGCTTCCATCTTGATCCGCGTCAGCCTTTCCGCACACAGTCACGTCAGGTTCTCTCCCTCGTCAGGCGTCAGGTCCTTACCATGCGTCAGCTACTTTCCCCCTTCCCTGTGTGAGACCCTCCTGTCCCGATCCGCGTGACATACTTTTCTCCAGCCCGCGCGGCAACTAACCAACCAAGTCAGGAAGAACTACGTCACTAACTCATCAAATAACTAACTAACTAGCTAACTAAATAATTAACTAAATAGCTAACTATTTAACTAACTAACTAACTAACTAATCAATTAACTAGCTAACTAACTAACTAACTAACTAGCCGTCTTCCTCCCCCCCCTCTGCCTCTAGCCTTCGTGCGTCAGGTACCCCCCGCGCGTCAGGTACTCTTTGAGTCTGAGTGAGGTTACAGGTTAGGTACTAGCTCACTACCTTAGTAACTTTCGAATTATCCAGCTAACTCATGAATTAGCTAGCTAACTAGCTAGCTAGCTAGCTAACTAACTCATTAACCAACCCCCCTCTCCTCTCCAGCCTTTGCGTGTCAGGTCCGCGGCGATGCCGCGAGTCAGGCGCCTGCTCTCACGATCCCGCGCGTTAGGTACCTCCCTCCTGGCGCGCGTCAGGTGCCCTTTCCGTGCGTCAGGTACCGCGAAACTCGATCCCGCACGCGACGCGCTTTTTTCCCCAGCCAGTGGGGCATCTAAACACAAGTAAAACTAACTAACTAACTGACTAACTAACTAACTAACTAACTAACTAACTAACTACCTAACCGCCTTAGCCCCCCCCCTCCCCGCATCCGCACGTTAGGTACCTCCGCGTGTCCGGTACTCTTTGAGTGAGGTTACAGGTTAGGTACTAACTCACTACCTTAGTAACTTTCAAATTATCCAGCTAACTCATGAATTAGCTAGCTAACTAGCTAGCTAGCTAGCTAACTAACTAACTCATTAACCAACCCCCCTCTCCTCTCCAGCCTTTGCGCGTCAGGTCCGCGGCGATGCCGCGAGTCAGGCGCCTGCTCTCACGATCCCGCGCGTTAGGTACCTCCCTCCTGGCGCGCGTCAGGTGCCCTTTCCGCGCGTCAGGTACCGCGAAACTCGATCCCGCACGCGACGCACTTTTTCCCCAGCCAGTGGGGCAACTAAACACAAGTAAAACTAACTAACTCACTGACTAACTAACTAACTAACTAACTAACTAACTAACTAACTAACTAACTAACTAACTAACCGCCTTAGCCCCCCCCCCTCCCCCGCATCCGCACGTTAGGTACCTCCGCGTGTCCGGTACTCTTTGAGTGAGGTTAGAGGTTAGGTACGAACCAGTAACTACAGAACTACCTGACTAGTTAACAAACTAACTAGCTATCTAGCTAGATAGCTAATTACCTAACTAACCACCAACCTCCCCCCTCCTCTCCAGCCTTTGCGCGTCAGGTCAGCGGCGATGCCGTGCGTCAGGCACCTGCTCTCAATATCCCGCGCGTTGGGCACCGCAGGTACCCCCTTTGCGCGCGTCAGGTGCCGCGAAACTTGATCCCGCACGTGATGTACTTTTTCCCCAGCCGTGCGGCAGCTAACCAACCAAGTAAGGTACCAAGCTACCTAACTAACTGCGCCACTAACTAACTAGCTACCTACCTAACTAACTAACTAACTAACTAACTAACCAACTACCCCTCCCCCCCCGCCTGCAGCCTCCGCGCGTCAGGTACCCCCGCGCGTCAGGTACTCTTTGAGTGAGGTTACAGGTCCGCGACGATCCCGCACGTCAGGCACTGGCTCTCAAGATCCCAGCCTTCAGGTACCTCTCTCCTCCCGCGCGTCAGGTACCCCCTTTCCGTGCGTCAGGTACCATGAAACTCGACTATGCGCGTGACATATGTTTCCCGAGCCCGTGCAGCAGCTAACCAACCAAGTAAGCTACCAAGCTACCTAACTAGCTACGTCACTAACTATGTCACCAACTGACTAACTAACTAACTAACTATCTAACTAACCAATTAGCTAGCTAACTAACTTGACTAACTAACTAACTAACTAACTAAGTAACTAAGTAACTAACTAGCTAACTAACTAACTAACTAACTAACTAACCGCCTTACCCCTCCCCCCCCCCCCGCCTCCAGCCTCCGCGCGTCAGGTACCCCCGCGCGTCAGGTACTCTTTGAGTGAGGTTACAGGTTAGCTGGGGTACAGCCTGAGCCCCAAGGCCTCCCTGGGGATGTTGCCCCCACTTCCCTCCCCCCGCCACGGGGTCCATCCCAAATTCTGGAACTAGCTCTCTGGGCCCCAGGTGCCTCGTCCCTTCTTTTTTCTCGGATTTCGGGCCATTTTGGGGCTTCGGTATTTCTTCTGGTTTGCTGCGACAGAAAGAGGAAGCCACATGAACCCAGCACTTATACAAAGTGTAATTCTCGCTGGTATTTGTTGGGAGGTAGACCGGCCGAAGCTATTGGGGAATTTTAGGGGTGTGTTTTGTTTAGGGGAACCCCCCCCCACCGCCTCCAGGCGAGCCACTGGGAATCTTATGTGAAGGGCTCGATGGAAGTGGGACCCTTCTGGGCGCTCTCGCCAGGTCTCAGCCTTCTCTGTGAGCAGGGAATGACCCCGAACGCCATCCCCGATTTGTTTTTTTCGTCTAGGGAAGCGAAAAGTCCGGTTCATTCCCACCTGGAAGAATCTGATTCCCTCAGCACCAATTCAGAAGGGCAAAGAGGGAAGGCGGAAAGAGATGGCTCCCATCAAAGGAGAATGCTCCAAACTAGGACCGCCCGAACGTCAGGTTCCATGTCAATTGGTGGGAGGGTGCGGGAAGTGTTCAATTTGACTGAAGTGATTTGGATTATTTCATGCTTAAGACTTGCCCAACGTTGCAACACTGAAATTATTTCTGCAAGAAATACGGACACATGACGTTGTAAGTTTTGGAATGCCCTCAAGACCAGCGCCAGTAAGGAACGAGACATCCTTTCATCTGACAAACAAGTCAAAGGCCCTTATGTGGTACCTCCCTCCGAGCCTTTGCTTACTCCGGCCTCAGCTAGTTCTTTGTTGCCGGGCCATCGATAGAACATGAGCAAAGCGGCAGACACCAACTAAACGTGGCAAAACCACAGCTTCTGCGTCATCAACGTTTCACCGCTTAGACCATTTGACTCTCGCGCTTCGTGCGTCACCCGGTTGCATGGCGCAGGAAGCCTTAGCTCCAGTGCGCGATATCTGGCCAAGCCAAATGCTGTGCGAAGATTTGAGCTGGTCAAAACAAGTGGCATTGTTGCTCCCTGAGCAGCAGAAGTTTGTTTGGCAGGTTCCATCCTGGCTCATTAACATTCCGGCGGTCTTGGTATAAGCCATTTTACATATTTTACACCTCGTTTCTCAACAGGCTGCAAATGGGACAGCTGTCAACATCATGCATTTTGCACTTGTGGGCAAGGTCGTAAGTCTTGACAATGTCATGAGTTTTGCTGAGCCAAGTTACACCATTGACAAGCTTGGCATGGCGCAGCAGGCTGAACAATTTTGTACCCTTTTTGGTACCTTCCCTCCCATATTACGAAGTGGACTTGAGGCCAACAAAATGCTGCACCCTCCATGATCTAGCGTAGGGAGATCATCGCGTGGGTAGCAACATGTCAGAGCCCGACGGCACCCAAGTTGCCTGTCACCTTGCAGATGCCCAGCGCTTCGCCGTGCCTAGATCCAGGAAAGCAAGTAGCAATATTCAGCGGCTTTTGCCACCAAGCTCAGCTTTTCAACTGTCGCATTTCTCTTTGTGCAAAGCTTTAGGATGGGTTGACATCCGTGAGGCCGTAGAGATGTGATTCCTGGGGCTGGTGCTGCTATGAAGTTGAGTGCGTGCATGTGCAAATAGAACCGGATGTGTGCTTGATGTATGTTCGCACATGTGTTGCCACCACTTTGATGTCAATCAACTGACGGCTTTTGAAGATTGGCTGGTGCACTCAAACATCAACATGGCTTGATGATGTACAATGAAGCGCCTGGCAGGGCATCATGTTTCAATCCAAATCCGTACATCTACACCGCTGAACGTCTAGAGGTCGCAAATTGGGTAAAGGAGAATTCTTCTGGGCAGTTGAAGCCCTCACCTCTGAGATGCCAAGTGTCATACTTCACGTGCCTTTGTCACAAACCGAGAAATATTTCCTCAAGTTGACTGTATGCAAGGTAAAGACCATGTTCGTGTTTATCAATATCTACCATTGTTTAGCCAAGGATTGTCGTCATCTAAATTGGCTCAACCATTCTTTTAATGGGGGTTGAACCCTAGGAGAATCCAACTGACAAGCCAGAAGCTTAGCTGCATTCGGACCTGCTTCTTCGCGAGGCTCTGGGGGCGATGGGCCAGCGATGGCACGCGAGATTGCGAGATTTGCCGCGATCCTGAGCTTAACTTCCATTTGCTGAGAAAAGAGTGGGTTTTTCCCCCCTTGTTGGTTTTAAAGGGGAAATAAAATCACTCCTGGATGTTGGTTGTATTCCCTGGAAACGAAACAGCAAATTAAAGTTCATCCACATTGGGGCGGGTGGCTCCCACAGCGATTGCATCTTGGATTCCTGTTGGTGCGCACCCGTGTCTTAGGCGAGGTCTCCTCTCGGAACTGCCCGAAAGCAGTCCTCAAGGCAAGCGGGGCGACACGGGGAAAAAGCGAAGGCCTTTTGCCCACCCTCAAAATCCCGTACCCCCAGTGAGCATCCCAATCCCCACTAAAATAGACTAAAATTGGTGGTGCATTCACCTACCCCAAAATGGTACCAAAACGGTTTTGACCCACAGCCAGGTGGATGATATGCGTGAATCAGTTTGACACCTGCCATGTTTGAGCACTCCAGTCCTAGATGCCAGGCCCAGACATTCCCGCTCACAATACGTTCAAGGTTGCGGTATCGCAGAGTTTGCTTTCGTGCATGAGCTTATGGGGCACCCCGAGTTTACACACCACAATTGGGTGTGTCCAGTTTTTTGGATTCGGACCTTAGGCTTTCGGCGTTCCTCTTCACTCTTCCCTTCAAAACTTCGGGGCTCCGCGCCTCAGGTCCAATTCTTCGGCCCTGGTGAGCCGTGAGTCGGCCGATGTCAGGCACAAAGCGCTGTGGATGGGCAGATTTCTGTGTTTCCTTGGGCTGTTGCTGGTTGATTGGTTGAGAAGCTACTTGGCTGGTTGAGAAGCTGGTTGCCTGGTTGCCTGGTTGCCTGGTTGCCTGGTTGCCTGGTTGACGGGGATCTTGGAGTTGTGCATGTGTTTCTTGAGTCCCTGCATCCTTGTGCGTGGCAGAAGCAGCATCTGGATTTGACCGCCGATTTTGCTCGGAGTTCCAGTTCCAATCCACCAAAGTGCGCTACGGGCTGCTGTTTTTATTCCACAGCGGGCTGGCAACGCAGGAGCAGGAGAGCGGATGTGCATGGGCTCGTCTTTTTGGAGTTGCTACCCTTGTTGGAGTGGCTTGAAAGAGAAGCCGAAGGGAAACCGAAGCCATTTCAATGGTTCCCTCAAAAAGACACCCCCAAATGACCGCTCATGGCTGCAACCGTGGAACCCCCACCATGTCAATGGTTCCCTCAACAGAAGCGAGGCGCGAATCCGTTGAATGAGCGCTGGCTGCCAAATGAGCGCGCCAGATGTAGGAGAAACCCATGGGCTCGGACGAGGAGGCAGCTTGATGCAAGACATGCATCAGGGCTTCACTTTTTGACTGCAGGGAAGGCTTAAACCCAGGCACGGTTCATTCAAATTCCCCCCAAGAAGGAGAACTCCCTGGGTTCGAGTCCATCTTGGGGTGGTCAAAAAGTGGAACCCTGTGCAGTATAGTAATCTTCTTTGGCCTGGGTCTTCCCTGGTTCCCTTAATCGGTTGGTTGGTTGGTTGGTTGGTTGGTTGGTTGGTTGGTTGGTTGGTTGGTTGGTTGGCTGGCTAGTTGGGTGGCTGGTTGGTTGGCTGGTTGGTTGGTTGGTTGGTTTTGGTTGGTTGGTTGGTTTTGGTTGGTTGGTTGGTTTTGGTTGGTTGGTTTTGGTTGGTTGGTTGGTTTTGGTTGGTTGGTTTGGTTTGGTTGGTTGGTTTTGGTTGGGAGGTTGGTTTTGATTTTGGTTGGTGGTTGGTTTGGTTTGTTTGTTTGGTTGGTTGGTTTGGTTGGTGTTTGGTTTGGTTTGCTTTGGTTGGTTGGTTGGTTGGATGGTTGGTTGGATGGATCGGGTTTCTTGGTTTCTTGTTTCTGTTTTGATTCTGGCGATTCTTTGTGGGGGGCTGCAAACAGAGGTTTTGTGCTCTCATGTCAAGGGTTGTAAAGATGATATCCATATACGATGAGGTCATTCTGATTGCGAAGTCCATCCGTTCAGAAGCCCTGGTTTCTGATTCGATTCCCTTATAAGTAACCCAACAAACGTTATGGTTTCAACTCTTCGGAGTTCGTCCAGCCACAGTATTGCCCAGCCGGTTTTTACACAGCCGAGGGAACCTGCAGAAATCAAACGAGTTGGCATTTCGCAGCTGAGCACTTGAATGACATGAATCTGCTCAGGCCCTGGAAGCGTACAGAAAGAAGCTCCTGTCGCAACTGGACGTGGCGAGGACCTGTCACATCCAGTATCGCAGTTCAATGCTGACGCTCATGAGCAGTCTAAGGCTATTGATTGGACACCCCCTTTGAGTGGTTGACTATGTTGTTTGGGCTAGATACTATGAAACATGTTGGCCACTGCCTAGCATGGTAACTAGAAAAGCAAGAGCACTTGACCAAATGGGACAAAGTGATGTTTGGGCTTGCCGCAGCTTAAGCTCGGGGAATTCCAGAAAAAGAGGTAGGCTTCGACGTTATTGTTGTTTGAGAGCCACAGAGACTCTCATCCCAGCAGCGTGAGATACTCTTCCAAGTAGCGTGATGAAGAAAGGCGCTCACCAGATCCTGATATGCTTTGGGGGAATCTGCTTTCGGCCCTTTGTCCACGGAATTGGGCTGTTGTTTGGCACGCTGGGATTCCAGGATCGTTTTGGGCCTTTAGGCAACGATTGCTTGAGCAGCGTCACTTCGGAAAACAAGAGCTGGCCATGATTCTTAATCGGGAACCACCTCAAGAGAGGTTGGTTATTACCTGAATCCCCACCGAATCTTGATGTTTAAGAGCGGTTCCGGGGCCCACTAAAATTCATACCCAGGGTGTGTCTGTTTTGTGGTGACCCCCCAAGAAGAAAAATGGTGGTTGTCCTTTTGCTTTCCCGCTAAAACCGCCAAAGGGGTACCCCCAAAAAAACAGCAAGTCCACATTCAGCATGGAGGATTCAAGGCGTGTCAGCGGAGGGCACCGTGGAGGGGGTCTTGATTTGCACTGCCAGCCCCTCAGGCGTCCGAAGGCGTCAGGCCGATGGATTTCGAAGACCGCAAGACTTAATTCTAGGGGTCCATTCTTTCCAGGGATCCGAATCTTTCCAGGAAACCAGCACAAACCCTGAAAAAAACAGCTGGTGAATGTGGACCCCGGATTCATACACCCCTTATTATGGGGGTGTTCCCCTCCGAAAAGTGAGAAATCCCCACTAAAGCCAGGGACACACCCATATTAATAAACAGGGGTTGATTAATCCGGGGTCAACACTAATGCGAGAGGTAGGGAATGAATTTCCGTACTCCCTTAAGGGCGACCATGGGATTCATGGTTTTTCGCGGGGTCGTTCCATTTCTCATTGCCCCCTTGAGAACCAGCAAGACAAGAAAGGAAAGAGAGGAGAAGACGAAACATCACTGGTGCCGATTGGTGTCAACCGGCAAAACGCCAGCTGAGCAACGCCAGTCTTATTTCCTTGCAAGCCACTTCTACAAATATTGCGTTATCCCTGCTTCTTTCAAAATATACAGTCAAAACGGTTAGAGGCCTGAGGCCGGCGCATCAATGTTTCATGGATTGTTGCTGCCTGTCTTAGAGTTAGAATTTAGCGGGGCAAGGAGTTTGATATACAGTTTTGGTTTCCTCAAAAGTAGCTGTAGTTCCCTTTACTTCACTTTGTACTTGAGCCGACTCGACTTGCTTTGACCTCACCGGACTTGACGTGGCATCATTTCACATGACTTAGCTTCACTTCGTTTTGCTTTGATTCACCTTCACTTTGATTCGTTGTTACTTCACAGCATAATGCTCACTTTATGTCACCTGACCTGACTTGACAGTTACCCGCCTTGCTACGAACAGTCTGTGATGATTTATTCCTTGAAACAGCACAGAGGTTTGCATGAGCAAACAGCAGCCCAAAGCCACGGTAAGTAGACGTTTTCATACCTACTATGTCGCTCATCCGTGTATGTATGAGCGCTACAGTACCTGATTAAAAGCTGCGACTCCCAAGCAAGCCTGACAGCTAGATGCGAGGTGATGCTGTTCTTCACTGTCAAAGAGTCTCTGTGTGCGGGTTGAAGGAGAGGGTGTGAGAGGCATCCCATGAAAACCAGAATGCCATCAACCCGCTGTAACGACAATATGATGGAGGCATACCAAACAGGCGGGAAATGGTAAGACGAGTGCCTCCATCATATGCCATCCCTTCTCTCCCTCCAACTCTCTCAAGATCCAAGAGTTGAAGGAAGGGATGTGAACAGATGGGGAGGGAAATGGAAGGAATGACATCTCTACCATTCTGTCCCTTCACTCTCCTGCCAACCACTCTCTCCTTCGTTTACCTGGCAGGCCATTCCAAGAGCGGACAGGTGGAGAGAAGAGTCCCAGCTTCATTCATCATCCCCGCTCGTCACTATTTCCTCACGGTCTAATTCATAAGCTGGAGATGGATAGGTGAGGGGAGTGAATGGCGGTGGGTCACCTTCCTTCTTCATCCCTCACCCACTGTTTGTCTTTCCTGCCAGTCCATTCCTCCATTCCTGTCCGTCATGTCGTGTCCATCCAAGATAGAATGGTGTGAGAAATGTGTCTTTAGGGAATTTCTGCGAGAGAACGGAGCGGGCAGGAGATTCAAGGATAGACAGTTCCCTTTCCCTCTCTTTCTATCTTGTAATTCTGGTGATTTTTTTGACCGAGGGAAAGAAATCCAGAATGGAAAGGAAATGAAAGGGAAAGGGAGGGGGAGGGGATGTACGGTCGACGGACCGTAGAGTGAGAGATTCTATAGTCAGTTATTTTCATATAAATTATCTCACCTCATCCCCTTCTCCCATCACTTCTTCCCCATCCATCACCTACCATTTGGTCCAGATGAATCCATAGGTGAGAGATGAGAGGAAGAGGAGTGAGGAATAAAGTAAACTCCAGACATGAATGAGAGTCAGGACCTTTCTGTACGAGCTGTTAGAGCACAATTTCTGGAGTTCTTCTCACGCTTCTCTATCTCTCTTCACTTCCCTTCTTTTCCCAGCTGCTAATGTTACGTTATGATTTTGGCAGAAGCTGAGAAAGGGAAAGGTAAGAAGATATGAGTGACAGGTGGATGCAAGGGAAGCGAGAGTTGGGTGATTGATGGAAGAGGCTCTCAAAAACACCCAACCTTCCCACCGCATCCTCCATCTTTCACACTCGTTTCCTGTCTTAGTACCGCTAGCATCACCCGCTGCTGCTCCTGCCTATATACCCCTGTATTCGTATCTTTGGGTTCGCGTGCTGTGTGTTTGTAACGTCTGTGTGTAAGTAGAGCAGGTTGCCTGCAGTTCTCCTGCCTTGGACGGACTTGCCAAGCGATACAGCCCGAACAGCGACGATGGCGGAACTCACTCTGGTCCCTACTGGGCTCATGATTTTGACTGTTTCTAGGGGTCTTCAACGTCAGAAAGTGGGGGAGGGTTCCCCTTTAACCCACCACTGAAGGGGTAACTCTGATAGCGGTAAAATAATGGGGCTAGCTTTAGAAGCTGATGTTCACCGCGGATGTTTCGCGAGCGCGAGTTCCTCGTCAACCAACAATAATTGAGTCACAATCAAAACCCGGGTAGATGAAGGTTGTCCCAGCCGGAAAGCCGCCTTTTCAATTCCTTACATGGTTCTGGGTTCACCAATTTTTGTACCAGGTTTTGATTATGACTCAATTGTGAAAGTTGGAAACTGAGGATGCAAAGGTCTATCGATGCAAAGTCGAACACTGCGAGT